CTCAAATCTAAAAAAAGAGGGTTTGTAAAATGTGCCATCCTTAAAATTATGCCATTTCAGGTTCACTTCATCACTTGATCCACCTGCGCTATCACACTAGCCCTGGGAAAAATAACAAGTCTGAGTTCAAAAATTTGTTAAAAATAATTGCCATCCTGTTCTTTTTGCATAGAATATGGAATAATGAGAAGGTGGAAACTGTCGATTGTGGAGACACAGCAGCAAACTGGTTGTCAAAGTATGTGCTGAATCAGGATTGCGGGCTACGTTTGGGATATTACTTGGCCGATATTATGCCAAGAAGAGTTGCAGCTGAGAAGCTGAAGCAGTGTTTCAAGACATTTAAAAATAAAGATTTGGTAATTGTCACACCATTTGTGCAGCATATGCAGTTCTTGATTTATGCTGGAGAGAAATCACGCTTGAGACTACGTTATTATTCTAGAAATTTGTATAAAAATATCACATTAAAAATAATTTGATTAATTTTAAGGACCACTTTACTTAAGAGCCAAAATTAATATACATCTTTTGAGCCATTTGACAGAGTTACACTTGATATGCAACATTACAACACATTATAGAAGTACAGTGTTACTATGAGTATATTTCCTTCAATTTAATTTATTTTAAAACTCTCTTCGCTTGGGAATCTAAGTACATTTGAATGTATTTTGAGAAATACTCATTTGAGAGGTGACTGTCTTAAATAAAGTTGTAAGTATTTATAACATGCACAAATTAAATTTACAATGTTTACTGATTTGAAGCCGATCACACCTATAGTAACAATAGCTATTAAATGTGCATTATCAAAAGCCTTACGAGGTTTCTCAAACTTTTCCTTCTATCAAGCAGACCCTCACCACATTTGCATAACACAGCCTCCTAAGAAACGTAGGATAAGAACTAGGAAAAGAGGAACAAAATTCCAGTCAACTGCAAAACTTCAGCACAATCAAGGCTGCATAGAAATGATGACAGTGAATGTTTCAGTATGTCCTGCATTGTGTAACAGATAACATATGACAATAAAAAGAACTAATCCCACTCAAATCCCATAAACCCATACAGATTTAACTACATAAAATTAATTTAAGCAAACATACTGTCAAGTGTAGGGAGGTATGCACGACTAATAGCAGGTTCTAGATTGGATGATTGGATTTCGTGGCACTTCAGTTACAATTTCTCCTAATTACAGTTAATACAGTGCTATCGCTGATTTATACACTTTCTAGTCCACTGTTACACACACACACACACACTAGGATTCTCAGTCTCCACTAGTTGTCTCCTGGCAGCAGATCTTAACACAGAAACTAGCACTTCAAATCACTGTGAAGTCTTCTTGCCATTTCTTGTTAAGTCACCCTGGAATGTCAGAACTCAACTGAACTGAACTCCTGTTCCCATATTCTTGCATAGCCTCTCAGCACTGACCACGCAAAGAAAACCCATATCATGTGATCGTTGCACACTTTTGTGGTGTGATGTCATTGCACATGTGCAAGTTGCACCGACACAAAGAAAACACTGCTGCTGTATTTTTGGCCATGTGTGTTGCGGCATTGCCTAGCAATGGATTTACATGTCACAATATTGAACTGACAACTGGTATATATTTTAGTAAAATATTGATTTTACACAAGTTGACAAAGCTTAGCTTGGATTTGAGGTTGTCACAGTGGTGGCAATGAAGATTTCTATTTCATGGGACATAAAACTGTGAGTTGATTTTCACATGGCATCATATCCTACAAGATAGAATTCATCCTGACTAGCTTAGATTTTATCAAAAGCCAGCCATTCCGCTTCATCCTGAGCAAGTTCAGTTAGTGACAATTTGATGTAGGCCACTGAATATGATTGTAATAACAGCATTAAAAATTATGCAACTTTTTTTTAAAGTTTAGCACTTATAGGGAAGCCAGGATAGCTCAGTTGGCATAGTGACTGACTATGGGCCAGATGACTGAGCCACTGTATATCTACATGTATATTATGAAAGTTTTTGTTAACATTAAAAAACATGAGGATGATATGAAACTTTACTCTTATTTATAAAAAATTCTAAATATTCAGAATGTGTGCCACAGGAAATTAAGCACAGAATTGGGTCACTGAATTAAATGAGTGTTGATTCATGGGCTCCTATTAGCCTCAGTTATAAATCAGAGTTTTGAAGGAAACAGTGTGTATCATTTCTTCCCAGATCATCTTTTTTTTTTTATCTTTACAGGGGGTATATTCAGACCTCACTAGCTTCATGTTGATGACAGAATCCTCAATAGATGATCTGAGAACAAGACTTCCTCCTCATGTATCCATTATATCGAGACAGTTCAGACCAAATTTTCTAGTGCGAGGGTCACTCCCCTATGAGGAGGATAAGTGGAAATGGATCAGAATTGGGGAGACAGCTGTGTTCAAGAATGTCAAGCCTTGCACGAGGTTAGTATTCATAACAGACTGTCTGATCAAACAAGAAATATGAGTATTAAAGCCAAACAAGTTAGCTGAAGTGGTAATGCTGTGAGGTATTCCGTATTGAGGGGGTGGGTTTCCCCATGCACTTAGACCGATTAGTGGTCCATTGTGCGTCCCCCTTTAATTTCTACTGTCTCCATACCCTACTGGTACTGGTGCTTACTATCAGCCCCTTTCTGCCAGCAAGGTTCCAACCTCCTCTGGCAGTGGTATCTAATAGTTAGTCCCTTTCTGTCAGGGAGGTCCCCCCTCCTCTGGAAGTGGTACCTAATACTTCCCCCATCTACCAGAGGAATTGGAAACTACTTGGGCGGGAAATGTTGCCTAATTTTGCTCAGAGGTCTCCTAGAGACATGAGGTTCTTTTGCATGCCGTAAATCTACGACACGGGACCCACGGCTTAAAGTCCCTCCCAGAGGACTTGTTCCCTGAATTTTTCTGCCCTTAAAAATTCCACGACCTCCGCCGGGTTTTTGAACCCGCGTACTACGAGTCATGAGGTGGGAACGTTACCTCTAGACTACGGAGCCCACTATGCTGTGAGGTAACTGGTTTGAATATTGGCTGGAAAACTGACTCACTTACGTTTTCCATGGTTTTGATAGACTTTCAAGCATATGCCAGGATAATACCTTAAATCAGGCCATGGTCACATCCTTTCCACTTTGTTATTTTCTATCATCCTACAATTCAATACTCTAGAGCCTGAGTTACTGACAGCATCATTAAAAAAACTCTAAAGAATCAAACAAGAAATATTAAATATCAAAAGTTTTATATTAGTGGAGAATTTATTTGGATAGGAGTCTGGGACTGTATATTATATTGGTCTGCTGTAGGTTTTACTTTTATAAATATAACTAAAAATAGGTTTAATGGACATACCTGTAGATCAGTAATTTTAAACTAGACAAATAGTAAACTGATACTCTATGCAGACTAAGGAACTGGGTAACAGAGACTGACATCATGGACTTCAGTTTGAGGATTACACAACATGTGAGAGTGCTCTTGTGGTCTGAGCAATCAAGAGTTCAACCAGATGTCAGATCATTTGTCTAGGCCAGAAGAAGAACAACATTCTTGGATGCACAGAGAGGACTGGTAGCAGCCAGAAAGTTCATGTGTCAATTTGCTACTAGGAACAGTTTATAATGTGCAGTGAAGTTTAAAATAAATTATACAGGCTGAGAGGTCAAGAATAGAAGAAGCACAGGGCTGTTATTGAACGGTTAAAGAAATAGTACGACTATATATGTACTGTGCAGAACTATTAGGCTTATTTTGGACTTTATCCGTTGTCCGGTATATGTAAGATGATGGATAAAGTCCAAAATAAGCCTAATAGTTCTGTACAGCATACACCAGTGTCAGAATCCTTTCAAGTCTATTTATATATTTACTGTATTTGCCAGTCTGTTCAGGTGATTGCTGGGATAATTCCTTTTGTAGAGATTTCCCTGATATTATGAACTACTTTTGAGATGTAAAATATAAGTTTCCATGGTAATTTTTTCCTAATGATTTCCACTTTATGTTCATTGTAGCTATATTGAGCACATTCGTCTCCATTTTCAGATGTGTTCTCACAACGATCAACCCAGACACAGCCATCATGGAGCCAAAACGAGAGCCTCTCCGTACTCTCAAGGGGTAATTTCTATGTCACTAATAAATATATATCCTGTATATGAATATGAATTTGTTGTTGTGTTGACAGAAACCTTACATTGCCATGTATGAAATATGAATAATTAAGAGAAGATGTAAAAATTATAAAAGAAGAAACAAATGGAAGTAGGAAACAAGGTAATAAATAGAAATTAAGAAGCAAGTAGGAGTAATCATGTGTATAAGCATTAAATTTCATACAAAATAATCCAATTTCTTTTTAATACATAGTGTATTCAACTAGCATTTTACAGGTTAATAATTCAAACATTGAGTTTAGCAGGCATGTCGAGTTTCTTGTTGATGAGAAATGGACTATCATTGCATATTTATTCTTGTTCATTCTCCAGCATCTTGATATATTGAAACATAAACATGTATGAAGTTAGATTAAAACAAAGTAATAATTTGATATACATTTCACCTCCAGATTTCAAATAACACTGTCAGATGCATGGCAGTAATGACCTTGAATCAGTGTGTACAGATATGGTAAATTCAAAATGTAAATAATTGGTTGATGGTCTGGTTTGCAGGTAATTTAAAATGTTGTATTAAGTACAGAGATTATTTTACATGAGTTGGAAAGGATGAGGGAAAGATCAGTCATTGTTGGTTTATGAAAGCATCTAGATAACCTGAAAACAATTAGAAATCTTAGCCAAGATGACTAATTCCACAGTAGAATACCTTCCAGATATATTGATTGATTTATGATTTAAAGCTAACTGTTTTTCACTGGCAAACCATCACTGTCAGCACCCAAAATTGACCAAATCATGTCTTTAAAGATAATCTGAAATGTGACCTTTCAGGCACATCACTTTTAATGATTATGCTGCAATGATTCAGCCATGTTACATGAGACAGTGACATTTCCTTTACTGCGGTTATAATAGTTATACCACCATGAATTGTTCTCCTTAAATTTGGTCCACTTGCTCTGTTTCAAATAGGTAAGGTAAAGCTATCCCTGTAACAGGCCGTGAAGGCCCATAGGGTTATGAGCTGTCGAGGCTCCCACATTTTCTAAACAATCGAGTCACAGATGGTGGTGAGGTTGTCAGCTTTATGTGTATACCGCCCTTTACCCACCAGGAAAATTTGTGGTATTCATTTCTGTTAGAGATTGAATCATAGCCCAATAGTGGGACTGGAATGATTAGGTAAATTGAAAAATCCACCTCGCCTGGACTTGAACCCACAACTTTCTGGCTTGTAGCATAGCGCCTCAGCCTCCACCAACTATGCTACCTCAATTTCAGTTGTAAAGGTTAAACCACCATGGCTTAATCTCATTGAAATAAACAGTTAATTTCTTCTATCACAGATTTAATGGTTATATCACTCTGAATTGTTCATCATGACTTAAATTTGAGTTGAACATTGATATTTTCTTCATTACAGATATAATAGCTACACCACCAGAGCTTGATCATCTTTAATTGGGTAGTGGCATTACCTCTGTTACAAATTAAATGCTTATACCACCATGGCTTGCTTCATCTTATATTGGATAATGAAATTTTCATCATTACAGATTTAATGGTTATACTATCAGGCTATATCATTCTGTTCATAGTATTTTAATGATGTGTGTTACCATTAGCAATGTATGTCATTCAATTAACTTCCAGCATTAACTGCATACTCTGCTCTTGCATATAGTATACTTCATTCAAAGAATATCACCTGACAAGAATGTGGCAACAATGTTGCTATAAGAACTGATGTCTTTTCTAAAAGGTTGATGAGTAATAGAGGTATCAGTCATCTTCAGTTGAGTATGTACTTTTACCCCCAGTAAAGACATAATTCCATGGTTTGATTATCTTGAATTCAGTAGTGATTTATCACGTAATTGGTGCACAACCATAATTCAATTTCTTGAAACATGCAGTGGCATTTCATCCACACTGTATACAATTGTTGGTCACCAAAGCTGCATTTGTGATAATTTGGTTCACCATGCAACTGTGAGGTTGGCATTAAAACAGAAGAGATCCTCCCTGTTCTAAATATAACTGAAATGCATCACAGTGGCTTAACCTGTTCTTCTTCAGCACACAGTCATATGACATTACCTTTTGTCCTTTACAGATACCGGCAGTTGACAGATCCTGCCATGCTGAAGGTTGAGGGCTCTTCTCCTGCATTAGGAATACACCTGGGACTTCATAACAGTGGTACTGTGAGAGTAGGTGATAGCATATTTGTAGAAGATGAGTAACATGGGTGCTTCCATTTTCTTTAATACAGTGAATTAATCACTGAGCAGGAACAAATGCTTATATTAATAATGTGGAGCAAACAGAAAGCACTCATAAACATGATTCGTATTAATAATGTTAATCAGGGCCTTTATAGGAATCAAGCCACTTTCAAATGTTCATATATAGCAACAGGAAACCAAATATGTCAATTATATATGTATATTGTCAGGTATATGGGGTTAGCATGACTAATAATAATGGGTTCTGGATTCAGTGATTGGATTTATTGACACTTCTTTATATTATCTCTTGATTTGTTCCTCCTTCCTAACTATCCTCTTTCTGTACTCACATCCAGATAAGCTTTTCCTCCTATCCGATAGCTAAGGGAATAACATTTTTCAAATGTAAACTAATAATTTAGAAAAAGATCCTTAAAATGATAGTAATTTTAAAATTATGTTCATCATCATAACAATTTATAGCATAAATGTGAGTTCAGATTTCGGCTCAACTCTAAATGCATTCATCTTTTTTCAAATACAGATGTATTATTTATGAACACAAGTCCTAAATTAAAAATAAGTACAGTGGAACCTCGCTTAAAGAGCACCTCTCATAACGAGTAATTCGCGTAACGAGCAAAACAAATTGTAAAAAAAAGACTCACTTAACGAGCAGCGTTTCGCATAACGAGTGATGAGAGGGGAAGTCCCAGATTGTGCGCTTGCTACATCAGTCTGTGTTTAGCACTCGTTCCGCTAGCATCTTAGTGTCGCTTCTGATCACACATTTTTCCAAACTTGTGTTCAGACATACTATTTGTGTTTTTTTTATGCAAAGTTTAATAACCCTTGCAAAAATGTCCCCGAAGAAAAGGCGGCAAAAATACAGCCATAAGAGAATAAAAATAACCATAGAAATGAAACATAAAATCATTGAAAAGCGAGAACGAGGTGTGAGCGTGGCTGATCTAGCACGCACATACAGTCGGTCTACATCAACGATTTGCACGATTTGGAGTTGCATTCTGTTTCACAGCAAGAAGTTGTGGAGGAGAGTTTGTCAGAGGATGAGGAGGAGGAGGAGGTAACAGCAAAGCAACAATCTTTGGGCGCAATAAGAGAAATGCTGAAAGCATGGGAAACAGTTGCATCATACATTGAGAAGCATCACCCTAATACTCGTAAGGCAGTGGCTATGCGCACTACAAATTTATTTAATAATAATGCTGTGTTGCATTTTCACCAAATTTTGAAACATCAGCAAAAACAAATGTCTCTAGACAGCTTTCTAGTAAAAAAGAATTAGATATGTATCATAAATAATAAACTAATTATTTCGATTTTTTGTTTTCTGCAAATCGAATTCACATTCCAGGCTGGTTCATTCCGCATAGAAGAAACGATGAAGATGATTCACGCTCCTTAACAATGTATATATAATTTTCTTTGAATAAACGTTATACATAAAATTTTTTGACTATTTTTTTGGCATGGAAAGCATTATTGTATTTTACATTAATTTATATGGGAAAAATTGTTTTGCACTACAAGTAAGATTCTGGAACGAATTATGCTCGTTAAGCAAGGTACCACTGTATTGCTAATTTTAAAATGTCTTCATAGTTTTTAACCTAGCAGAAGTCAATTCCTTTCAGTTGGTACCATTTAGGGCAGTAATTTTAAAAGTCCTTGCTTTGATATACCCTGAAACTTCTATTTGACATTGTTGTCAGAACCTACTGAAGCAACGTAAAGTCGAGAAAGTTATCATTCCTTACTCAGAAGAAAAATTGGCACTGCATACTGTATGTGAACTTTTTTATGCACTATTTTAGACTAAAAGAATTATGGCCTTCTTTGCAATGGAGCTCATCTCGGTTATTCAAATAAATATCACCTATTTATAACATAAAATATACTTTAATAGGCGTTTGGATAAACTATTCAGCGGTCATTCAACTCAAAACCTGATTAAAATGTTTTCTGAATGGGCAGATATTAAGCTGCAAATATATTTTAATCCTTAATTCCACTTTACTTCTCTGTAATATTGCAGATTAATTTTAATCATTCTTAACTGTTATATAAAGGTTATGAAGGGTTATTCTTATTAAATAATAATAATAATACAAAATCCTTGATATTATTAAGTAATTTATCAAGTACATCAATGATATAAATAAATAAAATATTTTCATGAAGACACTTTATAAGCCATCAACAAGCAGGTTCTTAAATAGTAATAAAAAATGTGAGGCAGATATTCTTGTTAATTCGCTTCCTTTGTAACATGGAAATATTATCAACTGCCACATTTCATTCTTTCACACAGTTATTTTACTAATATCATGCTTCATCTGGTTAAGAACACAGACTAGAACCATCAACAAAGTGTGTCTCTGTTTATAATAATAATAATAATAATAATATCTTTATTGCTTCAAGAAAAACATACAGGCGACACAATCACCACAGTTGTAGAAGCAGTCCCAAATAGTAAAATATACTATAATAAAACAGTTGCAATAATACAACTTAGTCAATGCTTAGTATAATAAATCAATAATAACTAAAATACGGACATTATAAGCAATTAATAATAAAAGTATACATACATTTATACAGAGTCTACAAAAACTACTACACATAAGTGTATCTAAATAAAACAAATATTCACCTGTATTCTATTTCCTTTCTTTTGACCACTCCAAGTATTCATTTATCGAATAAAATGATTGATTTAAGAGAAAATTATTTATAGCTAACTTAAATTTTTTATAATCACTCGATAATTTTCTTAAATTATGTGGCAGATTATTAAATATTTTAATACCCATACAACACACACTATTCTTATATTTGGCCAAATTTATCAATGGCACGTGTAAGCTGGTACTTTGTCGTGTATTTATGACATGTATTTCAGCATTTAGTGCAAACAAATGCATATTTTTCACCACCAGAAGCAAAAGCGAAAGTATATATTGAGAATAAAAAGGCAATATGTTTAAATATTTAAAAAATCCCCGGCAAGAGGCTCTAGAATTTACATTCATAATACTCCTTATAATTCTTTTTTGCACTATGAAGACATCCTTGCTATTAGTGGCATTTCCCCAAAAGGCAATTCCATATACAATTATAGAGTGAGCATAGGCAAAATATATCATTTTTAGATCATTAATAGATAGTAACGATTTCAGAGACCTAATGGCAAAGCAAGCAGAATTTAATTTCTTTATTGTTTTAGATATATGTCCTTGCCAAGATAAGGATGGATCCAAAGACACCCCCAGAAAGTCCATAACTTGTGTACTATTAATGTCAGAATGTAAATACTTTATAGGGGAGTTTACAATATGTTTCCTTATCGTTGTAAAATACATACAATATGTTTTATTAAAATTTAATGTCAAGGAATTTGCCTGAAACCATCTCATCAATTTCTCAACAACTAAATTAAAACATTCTTTAAGCTGATTAGGATCTGAAGTAGATACTATTAGACTAATGTCATCTGCAAATAGGATGGGTTTTGACATATTATTTACTGCTGCTGGCAAATCATTTATATATAATAAAAAAAATAATGGCCCAAGAATTGATCCCTGTGGTACTCCCAATCTGATCTGTTTCCACTCAGAAAAATATTGTATAGCTTGTTTATCCTTAATTACTACTCGTTGGTATCTATCACTTAAATATGAGGTAAGCAATTTATGAAATATACCTCTTATACCATAGAAATCCATTTTCTCAAGTAAAATATCATGGTTCACACTATCAAAGGCCTTTGTTAAGTCACAGAAAATACCACCGACCAGTTTTCTGTCATTAAGTGCCTGCATAATATTATTAAGTAAACTAAGAATAGCAGTATCCGTAGATAGATGTTTCCTAAATCCATGTTGCTCAGCAGGCAATATATTATTAAGTACTACATGAGCATACACTCTATTATATATAACCTTTTCAAATATTTTAGAAAAGGATGTAAGCACAGAAATTGGTCTATAATTAGATACTTCAGACGCATCACCTTTCTTGTGTACCGGATGTATTTGTGAGTATTTTAACCTTGAGGGAAATGTACCTGTGGCCAAGGACCTATTACATATGTAAATAAGAGGGGACATAATATATAACATACTTAATTTTATTATCTTCGTCGATATTTCATCATAGCCATAGGAACTTTTATTTTTAAGGGATTTAATAATATCACTTAATTCTTTGTAAGTTACAGGTTCATATAAAATATTATTACTGGGTCCTAAAGGCAATGAGGATAAATAATGACGAAAATTATCATTGCTTGATATTGGATCCAAGTTAATACTAACATTATTTAGCTTCTTAATTGTTGTAGCATCAAAGTATAAATTGAAAGCTGTTGCTATACTTTGACTATCTTTACATTCCATTCCCTCTACAATTAGTGGTGGGGGATCACGAATATTTTTACATTTGCCAGTTACATTATTTACCATACTCCACATAGTCTTAGTTTTATTATTAGATTTGGCAATCAGTCTATTATAATGCATTTTTTTTGCAGTTTTTATAACTTCCCTCAGTATTCCACAATATTTTTTATAGTAGGCATAAAGTATAGGATTATTTGAGTTCCTGCTTAAGATATAAAGATTTCTTTTATGTTGGCATGAAATTCTAATACCAGCTGTTAACCATGCCTTATTATTGTATTTACTAAATAATTTTTTGATAGGAAAACAATTATTAAAATTTCTCAAATAAATGTTAAGAAAAGCATTAAATATTTTATCTACATCTTCATTTGAAAAAATTTCTTCCCAGGTTTCAAAACTTAAATTAAGTTTAAAATTCTCAATATTAGTTTTATTTATCTGTCGCTTATTATACCTACAAAATTTAGAATTGTGGACTTTTGAGTTATTTAATACCAGTACTTGTGCATCGTGGTCAGATAGGCCATTTACTCCTGGCATGATAACATAGTTAAAAAATTTATATTTATCAATGAATATACCATCAATAGCAGTAGAAGACTTATTATCAATCCTTGTGGGGAAATTAACTATATTAAACAGATTGTATGAAGCCAAAAGAGAGTCAAGCTGAGTTCTATTATTACTCTCACAAAGGTAATTTATGTTAACATCGCCACAAAGGATTATATTAGTAGAAATGGAGTAAAGCTTATTTAGTACAAGGTCTAAAGTACTTATGAAATAAGGAAGTTTGCCAACTGGGGATCTATATATTGATATTATACAGTATGTAACCGACGCTAGACGTAACTTAATAGCACATACCTCAAGATCCTGTTCTTTACAATATTTTTCTAAATCAATGCTTACAAATGATAGTGAAGAGTGTACGTATATACATACTCCTCCGTGCTTATATTTGCTTCTACAATAACTGGCTGCTAAGGAATAAGGACTACTACATAGTTTACTAATTTCTTGCTTGCGCAGATGATGCTCAGTAAGACATAAGATGTGCGGGGATTCATTTAACCAATATGCCAGTAACTCATCCATTTTACCATTCAATGATCTAATATTCTGATGACATATCATAAACGGTACCTTGTGTTCAGTACTAGATTCCCTTGATGTTCTTTTCATATTGGAGCTTGGGTTTAAATTTTATTTAAATTTAAATTAAATTTACACACACTTGACAGATAATTCAATTGTTTGTGATTCACTTGCACTCTTTCATGTTATTATTTTATTTATAATCACAGGGAGCTACTATTCTGGTTCATCTCCCGTCAACACAAACTTAACTTGTGAAGTGGTCCATAAAATGTAATTGCCTAGCAAATGCTGAGGTATGAGCTGCCTAGAAGAAATTGCTTTCAAGATGCTGGTGCCATAGTCTCAGCATCTCCATAGATTATTCCACTTTATTGAACGGAGAGATAATTCAGCATGATTCAATACAAATTTGAAAATAAGAGCATTAATCCCCAAAATGTTTAAATAATGAAGTACATATGAACTTATATTTCAAGTACAGTCTGTATTTTACATATTCGTTGCTAATAAATTTTACTACAGAGAAAACAAGTAAAATATTTAATTATATTTATATTGTTAAGACAGAGGTCAAACAGTGGAGAGCTGTTGACTTATTATATCCATATTCCAGCATCTTATTTGTAAGATGAAGAATGAATGAAGTGATTTTGTTAATTATTATTTTGTACTGTGATGGAGACGTCCATTTATGGAGACGCTGTTATGCAATTTCTGTGTGAAGGATTATTCATTTTATCTGTTACAATTAATTTTATAATTACTTTTACAGAAACCTATGATTCTCTCACTGCATGAAAATAATTTCCTAGAAGTAAATAAAGTTGACAGTGATTGTGCAACATTTATCTGGAACATGCAGCTACACATTTTCTCTTTGTATGTCACATCCCTACCCTGTTATTCACATCCAACATAAATTGGATCTCCTTCTTTCACCACACCAGGAAAGTGAAGACCCAGGTATACTCCCATTATAGGGTCTACTCCTTCCACGTCTCTTGCTCCAGGAGTTTTAACCAGGCGATAGCTTGGAAACATATTAATGAAAATTAGTTGAAAACTTAATATGTGGTCTGAATAGGACTGAAGTTTAAGTTTGTAGTTCTTAAACTCTGAAAATGATTCAGTATTACGGTTAATTTGAATATTTATAGAAATATTTGTAATTTGTATTTGTTTATAACTTTTTTTGCTTGGCGCAAATGTATTGATACGCTGAAGAAAGCAGTCTTCTGGGATGTGGCGCCGTGTAGATGAAGTGTTAACTGACGTTTTGGAGGAATGTATCGCCTACATCTTCAGGGTAGAAGGAAAAATAAGAAATCCGCAAGCAAAGAGACAGTGAGAACAGCTGCAAGCAGCCTGCGATACGTTCCTCTGAAACGTCGGTTAACAGCACATCTACACGGTGCCACATCCCAGAAGACTGCTTTCTTCATAGTCACCGCCGTGAAAACCTCAAATCTTACATATTGATACTATGTTTTCATTTTGGGGAGAGACGAAATATATCAGAGTTCAGTTAAATTTTAATTTATTTCCCTTTCTGTTATCCTCCACATTTTAGTAACGTTAGTAAAGTTTGAATTATTCTCAACGTCAATAGAAAGTCCGTCGAGTGTAACAATTTGTAGGTCACTTCTTTATCACTTCTGCCTTACATGTTTCGGTTTAACATGTACCGAAACATGTAAGGTAGAAGTGATAAAGAAGTGACCTACAAATTGTTACACTCGACGGACTTTCTATTGACGTTG